AATCTCGTCCTAGTAGCACATCGTAGCCGTAGAGTGTTGTCGCCAGCATCGGGGCGCTGAAACCGAAATTGTTATGACACTTCATGCAAACTATTCGTACGCGATCGCGTATCGCCAGTGAGGGTCGTCAACCAATCAGAAATTGATCTCGGGGAGACACCGCTCCAAGGGGAAGCTAAAAATTTTCGCCGTTGGTCGGTGAATCAAACTGTGGCTCGCACCACCATCGATGAAGATTTTCACCTTTCTTGCCGTTACCACTTCCTTCTACCAGCAGAAAGTGATCCTCGGGTTCATCTTTGTTATTCTTTTGAGAGCAACCGATAGCATGTACTGGTACCACTACCCGGTGGAGATGTTGTTTCTCGAGCGATGCCGTCGTGTAAGCAGGGGGCCCGTTTTCCGGCTTATGCCTATCGTTGTTTTTCTTCTGATTCCGGTCAGGGCAGTTAGCATATCGGTGACCCGGTTGGTGGCAGCGAAAGCACTGTCGCTTCCTGCGATCTTCGTCGTTCGCCACAATGTTGTGATCGAGGGCCGTTGATCCTGGCCTTGAAAATGATTTCCCTTCTGGGAACCCGATCTTGTGTATTTTTTATCGGCGTCGTACAGGTCGGCGATCACCACTGCTTCTTGGAACGTCGCTGGGCGTCGTATCCTCGCTTCGTAGCGAACGTCGGATTTGAGCCCTGCAATGAATAAGTTCTTTTTCTCAGCTCCTGATAGGTCGGTGATTTGGTCGCACTGTGTCTGAAATGATAACGTGTAATCCTGGACAGAGGTCAACTGGCGCCGAGTGTCCAACTTCGTACGTGCTTTGTCCGAGGCGGATATGGGCTCGAAACGTGAACGAAGAGCTGTACCTCACGCTTTCCACGTGTGAATATCGGTCACATCGAAAAGTGACGTTGCGTTCTTGGGCAGCAGTTTCCGAACTTCCGAAAAACCCTTGAGTGTTCACTGCCTAAGTCCCCGTCTCACTTAGCGTCGATCGCCACCAATCCAGTGCAGGTCCCCTCAGTAGTGAAACATCCAGTTTGATTTTGAGATTATCAGCTGTAATCCTCGATAGCATAAAAATAAAGCTCCATCGCAAAAAACCAGCCCATCATGGTGGTCTTTTTGTCCATAGGATTAAAAGGGGGCGGCATCGGCGGCTTTACCTTGGCCACTGGTGTAGTTGGTATGGCTGCGGCCGCTGCAGAAACTGTTGTTGCTGCTTCGGAGCAGGCGGCGGCCATTGTCGTAGCTACTGCAGCTACCGTGGCACGTACGTCGGCATTTGTTGCTACTTCAGCTTCATCATCATGACGCTCTTGCGACACTTCGTATGCAATTTTATCCAATACTGTTTCGATACGTCCAATGCTAGCGGCGTCCTCGTGGGTGGGCTACTTCTGGCTCGTAGTCTCTTGTGTCTGGCGAAGTTTGGTAACTTCGGCGCAAGTTTCTCGTTGTCTTTTAACTCAACTTGCAGGCGAGTTTCTATGGCGGCGAATTTCGCCAATAGCTCGTCGAACTGTGCCTGGTCCATGTGGCGGACACTACGCTGGGTAGGCATGGGAATATCCGTGATTATACGTGCTCAGGTAAGAGCGTAAACGCTATAGTAGTCGGGCGAATGAATTTTTCTAATTTGCGGCCGACTGTTTTGTAGCAGAGTGAGCGAATCAACCCCCCCCCCCCACCTCCCCCCAAAAAAGAAAGTTTTCCGCGTACGGAAGCGGATAGGTTAGAACACTAGCTCTGAATACCAGATGTTATGAGTGTTTCACCAAAGTGCGGAATAGAATGTCGAGGTTTAGAATAACATAATATCGTACAATGGAATTACGAAACAAGACATAAGAACACTACAGTAATCCTAGCTGTGTGATCGAACAGGCTCGAAGAAGGCATCCGAGGACGCGGAACGCTTCGGAGTGACGCAAAATGGTTCGGCGTGGCGTGTACGGGCCGAAGCTAGGGCATGTGTTCGTGCCGTGTGGGGTTGGGGTACGCGTTAGCGGTGTGGCGCTCAGAATCGAAAATTCCTTTCATTTACGCGCTTCTGAATCTCGTCGCGTCGTTGATTTGGAACATCCAAAGCCAGAGATGGTGTACGGTTCAGGCGTGCGGTTCACACAGCTGTTGCTCTCCACTTGGCTTGACGACCGCGTGCTGTACATTATTGTAAACGACGCGGAGGAAATCCAACCTTTTAATTTCGACGGGAACTTACACGTCCAACATCTACAACTGTATCCTCTTATTTTGTGCACCTGAAAGATTTGCCCACAATATTATCGGGATCCTGCAATTTGCCCACCAAGTCCCATCCGCTTTGCCCCATTCACTTCAACAGCATGCCCCCGTACAGGAGGAACCAGGGCTTGTTTTTTACGGGTAACTACCTGAATTTTGACCAAACATCGGCGGCAAATATGAGAAATGAGTTGATCAGCAGAGGAATTTTCACAACTACTGTACTTTCTAGGAATCAAGGGATTTGGCGGGTGTCCTTGGAACAAATGCTGATGCTGGGTGTGGGCCAATAATGCAGCTTGAGGGAAGCCGTTTGGCATGGTCTGTTCGTTGCAGTACACTTGTCCTCCGCCAATTTTGCTGGTGGCAACCTCTCAGGTCCTGTTCAAACGTTATGGGAAATGTTCGGTTCAGTTCGCCATGTCCGCTATTAGCTGGGCATCATAGCAGGATCTCAGCTTTTGGTGGGTGCCTTTGCTCCTCGGGGCTCGAGTGGATGCGATTGCCTGAAAAAATCACGGGGGATATTCCGACTAGTCGACGAGGATTCTACCCTTCTCAGATGCTGCTGAGTCGGCTGGATTTTTTTTGTGGCACGAAGTCAGCAGGACGGTCAGCATGGTTCCTAATCGAGAAATTGGCGCCAACGCACTGGCTGGCGCTAATTTCTCTGATTCCCATTAAGGACAGGCTACAGTTCTAATAACGACAAAGTGAGTGAGAAATTTGCGGAGGATAGGTGTACACTTCTACAGTTGTACTTCGTTCCAGGTGCATCTTTGGACGGTGCCATGATGATGTCGTCGTGTGCTGTTAAGCCTTGCACGCGTGGGATACACTACAGTTAATGAAATTTCACGGACAAGTTTGTGTGGTGATGAGGTGAGCCACTCTGACGGTGCTAGGACACGTGGATCACTCAGCATGTCGTCGATTTGACACTGTAGAGTGGTTTGCGGGCACCCTAGAAAGGCATCAACAGAAAATGCGTTCAAAACCAGAGCAGAGTGGAGGGTGGTGGTTTATTTTTACATTTTGCGGCACAGAAGACCTTTTCCTGAAATATAGTTCGTGGTTTTTTAGGGCGTGGTACGGTTGGGACTCGGGAGCCCAGGGATGAGCTGCCCATCCGTGTATGAAACCCTACCCGACCATCTCTCATCTCGCCAATGGGCGCGCCGTGAACCAATGGAAGGGCGCTTGCATGCACCACACCCATGCCAGACGCTGCCATTTCCGTGAAGTGTACTTTCCTGGGAATATTTCATATTCTAGTGGTCTCCCTGCCTCCCCGAGTACTGCCTGGACCCGGCGGACGAGGGATGAAAAGACATTTTTAGAAGACGCGCAACCAGGGCAACCAACCAAGTGTTTGTTTACGCCATCATTCTCAGGACGTCAGAAGGAGTCATTCCTACATTGAGAGGGCAGTACGCTCGAATCTGAACACGACCCTCGATGGCGTGATGGTGCCCGGTCCCAAAGACAATCTGCATACCCTGTCAAACGTATTCCTCCGTAAATCTCGTAACTTGAAACCCGCTTTCGACATTGACGACTTTAGTGTGTGGCGCATCACGAAAACGAGAAACAGGTCGCAAACGTTTTGCGACGCACATGCAAGTGTGCCACGAATTTATGCGCGAGTCGTTGGGGTTTCGCAGGTTTGCTGGCGAGTCCCCCCGAAGCATCCCCAGGAAAATTATAATTCCATGATAATTCCGACGTTGTTGGGGTTCTGTCTGTCGTCTTTGAACACTTCGTGACGTCGATAAATACATGATCACTACCTTAAGTCGGAAATATGCAGGCGTCGGGCTGTTTTAAAAACAGCCCTGAAGCTCGTACCAGTCTACAGATCTAGAGGGTACTTCGGATATGCTCTGTTGCCCAGGGTGATTTTGAAAGGGATACAAACTGATGTGAAGTAATCCCGCCTCGTGACAAATGTGGGCTCTGTTTCATGCACGAGACGTCTACTGTATATATATATACAGTTAATATATTGGCTGTATCCTTCAGATATTGTCGTGCATTTCACTTGCAGGGGTCGTTCATTCAAACCCCCAGCAACTCCTGTCGTTTGCGCAACTGGCGATCTTGCCTGGTCCCTTCTGGATTCTGGCCACCAAGAGCTATTAGTGTGCCAAGCTGCCACCTTATCCCTAAATATATCCCCGCGCTAATATATCCAAGGAGGATTCGACTACACAGCGTATTGTGTGCAAATATGATAATTTTAAGTGGGTTTTTCAGAGCTTGAATATTTTAAGCTTGATTCCAATACAGTACATTTGATGCAGCTCGTCATTCACGCTTTGTCCTCCCCAAAACGGTTGACGCTTTGGCTCGAACAAAGCCAGAACCACAGCAACACTGGCAGTGGTCTGTCAATGTAAGTCCAGCGGGGTGCCGTCAAATTGCGTGTTGGCGGCGCAGCCACCTACTGTTGGTTTTCATCCACGACTTCGAGTGGATCACACACGACACGGTCCCTTTCTTTCTGCCCTGCCCGTGTGTAGTTCGTTATCCGCGGACACATAACCCTCATTATTAGATTCACCCACGTGATGTGCACCTGCTGGTGGTTCTTTCTCCCTCTGGCCCACTTCCCCCCAATCCATGTCGCGGACACTATTTTTGCAGTGGCTTCTCCGTCGTCATCCCACTGATCACTCGAAACCAGTGGGCTGCGTGGCCTTCCGCTAACCACTTTCACTTCCCTTGCTTTTCAAGCTCTCTCGAGTCTCGACAGCCAGCGCAGAGGAGTGTCTATTACTTTCACGAGTGTTGCTGAGCATGATCATTTCTGCTACGCGTCGTTGCTTACGAGTAAGCCGCGCTAGGACTGCTAGTATAAGTAGGGCCGCTGAGACCATTCGTCATCGCTGAATTCGGGAGTCTCGAGGTCACGAGTCGCGCCTTCCTCCCAGCTTCATCCACACACCCGCCGTTAGCACGCGACGTGGCGTCGCGCCGCCCCATCCCTTCCCATTCCGAAGGAGTCCTTCGCCTATTAAGCTTGGAACAGTCTTAAACCCCAGTCTCCAAAGCCCATGACCCCACCCTCCGCGAGGCGCGGAGCGCGTGAGGACAACGAGGAACCGTCGGCGAAATCGCTCAGGGCTGTCACTGCGCAGCGCCCCGTTCACCGGCGAATCTCGCCCTCCCTTGTCGCTGCGGCGGGGGAGCGGGCCGTCGCACTCCGAGTCGGAGTCGGCGGAGTCGGAGTCGCCCAACCGCAGCGGCGGCAACACCTGGCGGCGGATCCCAACTCGCCGGAGCGTCGCACCGGGACGGCTTTTTCGCATAATCATCGTCCGACGAGTCGTCGACAACGACACGACGATGGAAGCCGCGATCGAGATGACCGCTGCTGGGGGAATCGCGGCGGCGGGCGGTGCGGGATCGCGCGCGATCCGAGTCGCTCAACCGGGGCGCTGGCCCGTTTCGAGCTCCGCGGCCCGGCGACAAACGCCGGGGGGGGCGCGGCTACGCTCGATCAAGTCGATCAAGCGCCGCGCGTTGTTGGTCCTGCGGGAGGCCGCAGCGGCTGCGACGGAACGGCCGCGACCGCTTGGTCGCCGCTGCGGAGCGTGCGACGCGTGAATTCTCGCCCACTGGCAGAAACGACGATTCTGGGACCTGATCGAGCTGCATTGACTCGCGACGCGAGCTGGACTTGCCCGGGGACGGAGGCAAGTGACGCGGCGGCGTCAGCGGCGGCGGGACGGGGGCTGTTTTCGGCGGAAAGAGCAACGCCAGTAGTAGATCATGCTCCTGGTGCGGGAAGGACGGCTGCAGCAGCAGCAGCAGCAGCAGCAAGAAGCAGTTTTGATCAACTGGCGAGTGAGTCGAGCCGCCTCACGTTTCCGGGAGGCTTGGCGGAGGGCCGTGGGCAACAAGGGTCGTCTCACTCCGAATCGGCGCGCAGTGACGCCCTCGACCGGCGTCACGGCCACAATCACAGCGGTCTCGGCGATCTTGGCGATCACGGCGATCACAGCGTGACGCGAGGGGGCCCGGGAGCGCTGCTGGCAACGAGAGCACCCGAAAGCTTCGACAAGCTCCTGAGCCTTCGCCGCGCGGCGCTGCTACAGATCCGGGCGCCACTGCCGACAGCGTCGCAGGCTACAGACGCTGCTACTATCACCGCCAACAATGCTGGTGCCGCAATCGCCGCCGTGACTGCTGCTGCGCGGTTTCCCCCAGCGTTGGACGCGACTGCTGGTCCCGCTGGGACGGCGACTGCTGTGGGGCGGTCAGCTGTTGCCGGTCGAGCAAACGTGCAGCATCAGCATCCGACTTGCGATGGGAGGGAACATGTCAGTGCGGACGCCGATATGGCAAATGGTGGTTACATCGGTGGTGGGGCCGGCGCAGGGCAAGGCGAAGGAGAAGGCGAAGGTGGTAACCACAGGTGTAACAAGGCCAGCGATCCATCGCCAGCTGTGGCGGCACAAACCCAGGGTGGTGGTGGTGGTGGTGGTGATGGTTGTGGTAGCCCCAGCATCAGCCCCCGCAACCACGGCACCACCACTAGTGCTACCAGTCTCAGTAGCCGCAGCAGCAGTGGCAGAATGGGGGGTGGTAGCAGCAGGCAGAGAGGCGACGGGGCAGTGCGCGCCACTGCCCCCGTTCGCGACCTCGTGCAGTGGATCAGCCTACCGGCCACCACCACCACTGCTACCACCACTACTACCACTAGCACCAACACCAGCACCTGCATCGGAGCTGCTGCAGCCGCTGCTGCTGCTGCTGCTGCTGCGGCGTTCCCCGCGCCAGCCTTCCCCTCCAGCAGCACTGGAGCCTTCCCCCGTGCTTGTGACCCCGACAACAGGCTGATGGTGTGGAATGCCGCTGAGGCCGCTTCGCCCCCTTGCCATCACCTCAAACACTGGGATATTTCCCGAATGCTCGTGCATGGTGGTGGAGGTGGTTGGGGGAGCCATGGGGGGGGACCCATGCTCGGCATGCTGACTGCCTCTCTGCCCCCTTCTACTTCGGCTGCTTGTGCCGTGCCCGTGCGCGTGCCCGTGCCCGTGCGATCTCCGTTTCGAGTTGCTGGTGCGACAGCTGCGGCTGCTGGTGGTCTCCCAAGGAAGGGGCGAGGGCTTGCCCACGCATGGCCCGCTGGCACAAAGGAGCATCAAATGCGATCTAATCTGGGACCTTCTGGCGCTGCTGCTGCTGCTGATGCTGCTGGTGCTGGTGCTGCTGGTGCTGCTGTGGCGGTGTCGCTTCCCTCAGCAGCCATGGATCCGGGCAGTGGGGTCCGTGACAAGGGGGCCTGCCCCAGCGGGCTGAGTGGGCGCAAGAGGCGGTTGCGGGGTGACGAGGGGCACGCGGATTGCGAACCCGGTGCTGCGAGCACCGGCGGCGATGGTAACCACGGGAAGCGAGAGGTGATGGGGACAGGTACAGGCGAAGGTGGAGAAAGTGGAGAGAGGGGAGAGAGAGCAGGGTGGGGGAGAGGAAGAGAGTATGGAGGAGAAGGGATGGGAGGAAGCAGAGGGGGAGGAGATGGGACAGTTTTGGGCACGTGGAGTGCGGCGAGCGGAAGTGACAGAGGGAGAGTGTGGGCGGGGAGACGGGACGAGGGGGAGGGGACAGGTGAAAGGCGGGGTGGAGTGGGAGAGAGGCGCAGAGGGCCGTTTGGAGCAGGGGAGGAGACGGCTGGGGGCGAGGCAGGGACGGGCGAGGAGGAGAAAGGGGAAGGAGAGGGAGGGGAAGGAGAGGGAGGTGGAAAAGTGCAGGGCGGCAGAGCAAGCGGGGATGATAGTCCCAACTATGCTGTACCGGTGACTGCTCTTCCTGCTCCTTCTGCCCCTGCATCTGCTGCCCCTGCCCCTGGTGGCCCTGCTGCTGCTGCTGCTGCTGCTGGTTACTTTGGTGGTTACCGTGGCGATGGTAGTGCTGGTGGTGATGGTATCGATGCTGCTGCTGCTGGTGCTGGTGCTGGTGCTGGAGTTGCTAGTGGTGCAGGAGCGGCAGTCAGCGTCTCTGGGGGAGGGCTGGAGGAATGCCTGCGGTGGTGGTTGGGGGGCGGTGCTGCAAGGAGGGGGAGAGCAGCAGCAGCAGCAGAAGCAGCAGCAGCGGATAGCAGCACACGTGTGGGAGCAGCTGGAACGGTTACTGCTACCAGGGGAAACACTCCTATGATGGCCGTGCCATGGGATGCTGCTGAGGCAAGGGGGCAGAAGCGCAGCGCGGAGGGTGATGCCAGCGGGGAATGGGGGCGCGTGAGGGATGCGGGAGTGTGGGTGCAGGAGCGGATGGATGGTCGCCTGCTGTCCGCCCCTGTATTTGATACTGCTGCTGCTGCTCCTGCTGCTCCTGCTCCTCCTCCCACTGCTGTAGCTGCTTTTCATGTCGCACCACAGCATTCTGCTAGACCGGGTGCACCAGCCCTCCCCGCATCCCTTCCCTCGGACTGGCTTCAGCTGTGGTCCGTGGACTCACACGCAGTGACAACTGGGGAGGAGGCAGGCCGAGGGGCGGCATGTTTGGGAGTTGCTAAAAATGACTCAGAGGACTCACGTGCAGCGGCAACGGGGAAGGAGGCGGGCCGAGGGGTGGCATGTGGAGGAGAAACCGCAGAGGGGAGAGGGAGAGGGTGCATGCAAGAGGAAGAACGGCAGGAAGATGTGCTCCCGAGAATGCTGCAACCTACCCGCGCTTTCACTCCTGCTTCTGATAGTGCTGCTGCTACTCCTCCCGCTACTGCTGCTGCTGCTGGTGGAGCTCTAGCTGATTTTCCGGGAGCCCAAGAGCCAGACCTCCACTGTGCCGCTGTCCCTTCCCACCCCACTCCTCGCCCCCAGTCCTCCCCATCCCGAGTCTCCGCTCCCAGCAGCACTCTCAACCCACCAACTCTCCCTGCTCCCCCTTTCCACTTCCTCCTGCGCCCTTCATTGTCCGCCCCTCTCCCTGCCCCCTTCCCCACTCCCCTCTCCCCGTCATCACTCCAGCAGCAGCAGCAGCAGCAGCAGCATACCCTGTCAGCCTCACGCACCACCTTGCGCCCTGCTTTCCCTCCCGGGCAGCAGCCGTCTCGCCTGCTGGAGCACCTGCAGTCCATTCTGCAGTCATCGCACGGCGTAAGCTCAGCACTAAGGGCGGTGCTTGGCCAGGGCGGCAGGCACCTAGCCAGGTGTGCGGGAGCAGCAGCAGCAGCTGAATCATCCGCTGAGGCTGAAGCTGCTGGTGCTGCTGCTGGTGCAAGGGACGAGTTTATGGGAGAGCCAGAGGGAGAGGTAAGGAGGGAAATATGGGGAGGAGATATCAGGAGAGACGCAAGGGGGTCGTTGAGGGGAGGAGGACAACCATCTGGTGTGCTTATAGGTGGTGCTGCTGCTGAGGCCCAGGGGATTCCCGCTGAGGGCCTAGGTGTGACTGTAGCTGGTGAGAATGTAACGGAGGCGGCTGTTGACCCCGTAACTGAAAGCTTGAGCCGTGTGCAGGCAATTCTACAGGCACAAGCACAAGCACGGGCACAGGCACAGGCACAGGCACAGGCACAGGCACAGGCACAGGCACAGGCACAGGCACAGGCACAGGCACAGGCACAGGCACAGGCACAGGCACAGGCACAGGCACAGGCACAGGCACAGGCACAGGCACAGGCACAGGCACAGGCACAGGCACAGGTACAGGAGCAAGCACAGGGAGCCATACAGGCGAGTGTTTCGGGTGAGCCGGTCGCGTTTCCAGGGAGGCTGCGCGTGCAGGAGCAGCAGCGGCGGGTGGTGGTGCGCACCGAGTGCGGCGAGAACGAGGCGCTGAGGGACGGGCACAAGTGGCGCAAGTACGGCCACAAGGAGATCAAGAACTGCCCCTTCCCCAGGTGCCCACCACGGCTCTGTGTGTTGTGTGTGTTGGTGGGGGGGAGGTGGAGAGGGGAGGGAAGGGCCTCAACCCATAGAAAGCTTTTGAGTTGTCGGCTTGTGCAGTGCCAGTGCTAGTGCATGTGCCTGTATTTGTGCCTGCGCGTGTTACACACACACAGTGCTGTCTTGAAACCTACAGTGGCCTCATATCTCACAACCCACAACCCACGCCCCACGCCCACGTTGGTCCGTGTGCCTCTCTCTCTCTCCTCTCTTTCCTCTTTGCTCGCCCCACTAGGAGCTACTACAAGTGCGGGCAGCAGGGGTGCAGCATGAAGAAGCACGTGCAGCGCTGCCCCTCCAACCCCGCCATGGTCGTCACCACGTACGAGGGCGAGCACACCCACGACCACGCCCACGGCAGTACAGACGACTCTGCTGCTGCAGGGCCCGCAGTGGGAGGATCGCCGGGCGGGACATCGCTGCGTGTACCGGCTGTGGGAGGGGCCATGAGAGGGGCAGTGGGAGGGGCCGGGCCAGGTTCTAAGGGAGAGGAGTCGAGCCTTCTTCAAGCATCTAGCTCCGGCTTCACCGGGCCGGTCCTTGCCCTCCCTGCTCCTCCCTCTGCTGCTGCTGCTGCTGCTGCTGCTGGTGCTGGTGCTGCCCCTGGTGCTGCTGCTGGTGCTGCCCCTGGTGCTGCTGGTGTTCACGATGCGAGCACAGGGATGACAGGCAGTGCATCAGAGAAGGAGACCTTCCGTGACGTTGCACTGCAGCAGATGCTGCTTCGGCTGCAGCAGCAGCAGGAGGCAAGCACGGTGTGGGGCAGCAGTGGGGAAGGCAGGCCAGGAGACGGTGATGCGGTTGCTGCTTCTGTTGGTGGTGGGCGCATCGGAGGAGGCAGTGGTGCTGGGGGTGGTGGTGGTGAGGGAATGGAGCACAGGGTGGTGAGGCAGGGTGGGGACAGAATTGAGAAAATTGGCGTGGAAGGAACAGCGCAGGAATCAAGGTCACCTGCTGTTGCTGCTGCTGCTGCTGCCGCTGCTGCCCCCGCTTCTCTTAATGCTGCTGCCACGGCCTCTTCAGCTCTTTTGGCTGCTGTTGCTGCTGCTGCTACCTCTGCTGCTGCTGGCAGGGGGCTTTTGCCTGCGGTAACCACACGGAGCGGGTGGGCAAGACTTATGGCAATGGAGGCAGCCAAGCAGAGGACGAGGCACACGGGTGCTGCATCTGATGCTGCTGCTGGTACGTCTGCGCTTGCTGCTGCTGTTGCTGCTGCTGCATCAGCAGGAGCGCTGGCGAGTGGCTTTTCTCCTTCTCACCTGCCTGCAAACACTTGGAAGAAGGGGGATTCTGCAGGTGTTGCTGCTGCGCTGCCCAGCAGCGAGACGTATGGAACGGGTGAGGCTGCAAAGTTGGGAGTGAAGACAAAAGGCCGGGTATCTAGCGAGAGCGGAGTTGGGGAAATTCCTGGAGCACCAGCAGCAGCAACAGCGGCGGTTAAGGCTTGTGGGAGCTCCAACTCGCTCCCAGCCTTCCCTCCGTCACTCGACGTGAGCCCCAGATCAGCGTCTCAGCTCCAGCTCCACACACTCGAATCTATTGCCGCACACACCCAGCCCCCCCCATGCTTCCCTCCTCCCCGGCCCGTCCACGCTCACTCCCAACGGGGCATTGCTGCAGGGGCCAACACCAGGAGCAGGTCCAACACTGACCTCCCCACCAGCAGCAGCACTGCCACCAGCACCAGTGCCAGCACTGGTGCGCAGGCTGTCACTGCAGCAACCACAGGCACAGGCACGGTCTTCGGCATGGGCATTGATCCCAATGCTCCAGACTGGAATGCTGCCGCTGCTGTTGCTGCTGCTGCTGCCACTGCTGCTGCTGCTGCTGCCGCTGCTGCTGCTGCTGCTGAGGGGCGTGCACCTGATCCCAACCCTAGCATCGCCACAGCCTTTGCTCCCAGCGGCTACTCTCCTAGCCTCAACCAGGCTCTAATCGCCCTCACTGCTTCGACCCATCCCCTCGCTTGGCATCACCAGCAGCAGCCACTGCACCTCATCCTTGCATCCCCATGCGCCCCGCCCTTCCATGCACTCACTTCGTCCTCTGCGCCTGCTGCAGCTTCAACGGCAGCAGCCACTACTATGACAACTGTAGCAGCTGATGCTGGTGCTGGTGCTGGTGCTGGTGCTCTGGCGACTACCGCCTCTCCATTCAACGCGGCACAAGCTGGAGGCACAGCCGCTACGGGGACAGTGCCAGTCACTGGAGCCACCAGAGCAGCAGCGCTGACTCGCTTGGCTCCCCCTTTTGTGTCTTCCTCCCTTGTGTCACCACCTGACGCCAGGGAGAATCAGAAGCCTGTTTCAGGTGCCGGCTTGCCCCTGGCATCTGTTTTTCTCTCTCTTGAAGATGCAGAGAGGGCGCATGCACACACCCATGCGCAGTCACTGATACAGCCACACGTTCATTCACCTGCAGAATTAGCATCTCAAGCAGCAGCAGCAGCAGCAACAGTAACTGCAACAGCAACAGCAACAGCAACAGCAACAGCAACAGCAACAGCAATGGCTGCCAATAGTCCGGGGCCTAAGCTATTTGGGAAGCTGCTGCAGTGACCAATTTTGCGTAGACTGGGAAATTATCACTGACTCGCCATCTCATTTTTGACATTTTAGGTCAATCTCATACATCCGCCAGCGGCCAGCACCAGTAACCCCCATCAGGAGTATCATCCCAATTTTGCAGCATAGGGAATGTTTAGGGGCTTTGTAGAGATCTGTGGAGTTGCGTTTGCACTTTCTATTAGTGCATTTTGCACTTAGCAGAGATATGTGAAGCCGAGATTAGTGCATTTATGTTTCACGAATGCTATTTTTGTTTTTTTATTGTTTTCAATTATTGGTAGCAGCTTTATATAGGATATATGATAAGATATGCCTCCTCTACTTTGCCAGTTCTGACATGTGTGACCTAGTGACCCCCTGTGCTTCAAATTTCGCGCCTGGCCCAAGCTCGCTACTGCGCCAAATCAGCTCTCCCGGCAAAAACCTCCTCCGGGCAGGCTGACTCAGCCCAAAACAGGCTCCACGACCAATCTTCAGCGGTTGCATTCAAACCACCCAGACGAAATTGACCCTGACATGTTCGAATTGCCGCCAAAAGCTCTGCAGCTCTGACTTTTTATGACCTGACCTGAATACTGCCGCTCGGGCTGGGATTTGGGAATCGGGAATCGGAATGGCATGGCTTGCTCACGCCGAGTCGCATCGCATCCCATTCCATTCCATCCCGCTGGTCATGAGCGGAATCGCGTTTGTTCTCCCACCTTGGCATTTCCTCCTCCCTGTCCGTGAAGTGATCCATCTCTTCAATTATCTCGCTCAGTTGTGATTAGCGCCCATAGTAGCGTTGGGCCTCACGTGATCCCACCCTAGTTCTATTCATTCTTGGTCTGCAGACTAAATCCGTGTTCGCCCCAGAGTCTCTCGGGGCTTCACAACTCCGTCTAGCATCAGGCGTGCGCCGTGTACAAGCCACGCGTGCCTCTTATCCCCACTACCAGCTCCAAACATGGCGCGACGACCCATGCACGATTCGACTCGCCATACTCCCCGCTCGCCTGAATCACCTCCACTCGTCGCCCTCGCTCTCCTCCTCGTCTCCCTCCTTCCACCCGCCATGGCCTTCCCTTCGTTCAACCCGCACCCCATGAAACCGCGCGAGTCGCATCAGCTCACCTTCCGAAAATTCCTCCCCTTCAGCAATCCCACCGCCAACTCTCACCAGCAAAATTCCGACTCCGACACGCACGAAGGCGGTGCCGATCGGGGTCAGCCTGAAGGAATGGCCGCCACTCAGCCTCCCGTGTGCGGCGGACCCGGCGCTTCCAGCGAGCCCTCTGCCGACGGAGCGCCTTGCCGCTTGGCACTTAGTACCGGCCAGCCTGCCGGCGGCGCGGGGGACGATCCTTCATCCGGAAGTGAAGCAGCTGGAGACTCGAGCCGCCTTCTTCTGGAGAACATTGCCGCCGCTAGCAGCGCCACCGGCGGCGGCGACGCTGGCGACACAGTCGCAAGCAGCGGCGTCGGCGACATGGTTGCGCGGATCGCTCAGATCCGAGTTGCAGCCGTGGCAGGCGGAAACGGTAACCTTGTGGAACCCGACGCGGCACGGGCGGACCCTGCGCCCCGGAAAGTCGGCGATATGTCGGTGGAGCCGCTTCAGAAGCCGAAGAACGCGAATATGGACGAGCTCCTGGCGCGACCCGGTGAATTGACAGCAGGTGCTGGCTCGGACCTGGCTAATGGCGGGACTGCGACTGGCGAGACCGGCGGAGAAAGTGAGAAGGCTGCTGGAGCGGACGGAGAAGGTGAGGGGGAGGAGGGGGAAGGGGGGGAAGCGGTGGAGGGAGCGGGAGAGGAGGGCGAGGGGTCTCGTGAAGGAGTGCTGGTGGTGGCGGGAGTAGACGAGGAAACGATCAATAGGGCGGAGGCGACGGACGCGGAAGGGGCGGAGGCGGAAGGGGCGGAGGCGGAAGGTGCGGAGGCGGAAGGGGCGGAGGCGGAAGGGACGGAGGCGGAAGGGGCGGAGGTGGAAGGGGCGCAGGCCGACGAGAAGTCGGAAGGCGAGGCAGCGGCGAGCGCTGAGCAAGCAGCTGCGGGCGGGGAGGCGGGGGATGAAGCGGAGAAGGCGGGAAGCGCGCTCCAAGCGCGCGGAGTGAAGGCGGAGCAAGTGGCGAAGGCGGAGATCGCCTCCGCCAACGACGATGACGCGCGACAGCCCCTCGTGGCTACCGTGTCCGGAGCCGCTTCCACGTCGCACGAATCGTCGCCTGAGACGCACGCGTCGCCCGAGTCGCCCGAGTCGTCTGAGTCGTCGCTCGGCGTAGCGGACTTGGAGGTGGTGGGCGTGTCGCAGCTGACGGAGATTAATCGCACCTCCGGTGACGTGCGGCTGACGCTCGACCAATACGCTGGACGTACGTCGCCGAGCACCGACACACACACAAGCATCCCATACACGCTCACCTCCCCACACCATCCCCTTTCTTTTTCCCTCCTTTCCCCCTTCGCACGTATCGTTGCGCCCACCTCAACGGGCATCCCGCGCCCCCTCCCCTGACCATTTTTCCCCAACACCCCCCCGCGCCCCCCCCCCGGCCCATCCCCCCCGCACCCATTCCCTGCACCGCGCGCAGTGGGAGCCGTTAACTCCAAGGCCTTCCTGCGCTACGGGTTCGTGTCGGCGCGGATCAAGGTGCCGCAAGCGTACTCGGGGAGCGTCATCTCCACGCTCTATGTGAGTCGCGAGTCACGATGTCTTTAAAGTCATTGCTGCCACGACTCGCGGCAGCCTCCTGTCGCCTACTTTCACTGCTAGTAGCACTACTACCAGTATTGACGAGCTTTTACTAGTCGGAAACGCCCAAATGCTTGGCACCCCAAACCCACCCCGCCCCACCCCGCCCCACCCCGCCCCACCCCGCCCCACCCCGCCCCACCCCGCCCCACCCCGCCCCACCCCGCCCCACCCCGTCCCCCCCTCTCGCTCATTCCCCTCTTTCCCATGCTCCTTAGCGACTCATCCTATCCCGCGTACGCCCTCTCCTCCCCCATTCCCTTCCATCCCTCTGCCGTCCTCCCGTCGTCCCCTCCCGCCCGCCGTCCGTGATACTAGCTGACGAGCCAGCAGCCCGGGCGGCACGACGAGATCGACTTCGAGCTGATAGGGAGCGCGAGCGCGGACGGCATGCGCATCCACACCAACTACTACGCGGCGGGCAGGGGCGGGCACGAGGAGCAGATGCACCCGTGGTTCGACGCCAGCGCCGACTACCATACGTACAGCGTGCGCTGGTCGCCCGACTCCATTGTGTGAGTGCATCTGCTGCTGCCACGGCTGCTGCTGCTGCTGCTGCTGCTGCTGCTGCTGCGGCAGCGGCAGCTCTCCTGCTGTGCTCTTCCTTCTCCCCCGTGCTCAGCGCATGACGGTCACCACTGTTGGTGGCCCAATCGCGAACCATGGCTGCAGCTCAACACCTGCTGGAACGGCTTGCCTACTTCCTCCACCCTCAAAAGAGTCTCTTCTCTCCCGCGTCTCGCTCCAGTTCCTAGTTCCCTAGTTCCCTAGTCTCCTTGTCTGATCTGTCTGCGTTCTCTGCGTTCTCCTTTTGAGTCTGACTCTCAAGTCACCTCGAGGCCCTCCCTTCCGCCTGCCTTTCCCCTCCTCACCTCTCCCCCCCTCCCCACCTCTCCCCCTCTCCCCCTCGCCCTGCCGCCAGCTGGTACGTGGACGGGCAGCCCATCCGCGAGACGCGCTTCGACCCGCGCAACGCAGCAGCCAGTGTGGTGGCGCCGCTCCGCGTGTGCGCTAGCATCTGGTCCGCGGACTGGGCCATGCCGCCTGTACGCCCCGCCTCCTCTCTCACCTCTCTCCTCCACTCCCCCTCTTTCCTGCCCTCTCGTCTCTCTTGTAGTGTCCTTTTGTTTTGATCACGCTATTGCATCATTTCGCATTTCTGCTGCCATCGGGTTTACGCACTACATGGTCCATCGACTCGTGCCTACTCATCGTCCCTCTCATCCGTCCCCCACTCCGTCCCCCATTCCGTCCTCCATTCCGTCCCCCGCTCCGTCCCCTGCCCCCCCGCGACTTCTCTCCTTACCCTGCAGATGGATTGGTCGCACGGCCCCTTCACAGCGCAGTACCGGGACTTCAACTACTCCTCCCCCAGCCTCTCACACACCACGCACCCCAGCACCTTGCCCACCTACAATAGCACCACCACCAGCAGCAGCAGCAGCGGCGGCGGCAGCGGCGGTGACAAAAAAGGGCAGGCGGGGCAGGGCGAGCAGCCGCTGAGTGTGGGGGAGAGGGCGGAGATGCAGCGGGTGCGCGCGCAGTACCTGACGTACTCGTACCTGGACTTCTACAGGGAGCTCGCCAGAAAGGAAGCAGAGAGCGCTGCTGCTCCCTCTCCGTCTCCTGCTTCTGCTTCTCCTTCTCCTTCCCCTTCCCCTTCCCCTTCCCCTGCTCCTTCCTCCTCTCCTTCCCCCTCTGGGAATCACGGGGGGAGGGAGGGAGAGGGTGGCAAGAGAGAGGGAAAGGCTGGCAGCGCTGCTGCTCCCAAGAGCGCTGCTGCTCCCAAGAGCGCTGCTGCTCCCAAGAGCGCTGCTGCTCCCAAGAGCGCTGCTGCTCCCAAGAGCGCTGCTGCTCCCAAGAGCGCTGCTGCTCCCAAGAGCGCTGCTGCTCCCAAGAGTGCTGCTGTGGGCACAGGCAAGGAGGATGCAAAGAAGACGGGAGGAGAGAAACAGAGTGCCAGGGGGCCTTGAAGAGTTAGTAGAGGAGTGAAAAGGGGTTGAAAGCGGATCTGAGGGATGCAAACTGCCGAGAAAGGAAGGGAGTGGGCGCTGGGAAGAATTGCACGGGGGAGCGACTCGCTCAGTCCTCCCCTCGTTCGTTTCCCGTCTGGTACAGTACTTTTTGCTTTCATCTACCTGTACCTGTACCTTGCTTTTAGAGCAAGGGAAGAAGGGACGTACCGTAGTAGCGGTGTAATTGTAGGAGAGTAATGGGGAGTCAACATGGTGTTGACGGCCCTGTTCAGTGGATTTCCGACCCGTGCTGGTCCAACCGTGAAGACTGGTGCAAATAGGTGTATCTTTTAAGTCTGTAGTGATGAGCCTTGTGGCCGGATACATCAGCCAAATGTGGCACATATCCAATCCTTGATTTAATCACATGTCGAAACATACAAGCATACATGCCGTACTGTACAAGCACACGAGCATGCACCAAGGTCCAGCTCAACCTGAGCTCGAGATGAGCTCGATAAACATGGACCATTGGCCCTAGCGTATCGCATGACATAGGCCTAATGGCCTAGACTTGAGAATTCTAGCCTATTAGCCAGCATCAGGGCACACCAGCAACATCAGCCGTGTTCCACCCTCGCTTTCTCCCTGACGCCTTCACATCTCCTTCCTCTCCGCAACCCAACATTCTGCTAACAACCCACCCCCTCTTGTCTGCCACACCCCTCTACCTCCACATCCCCTCTCCCCGCCCTGCTGCGCCCCCTCCCATCTCCCCACAGCGTCGCCTCCTCTCACCCCCACCCCCACCCCACACCCCTCCCTTCCCCTATCAACCCCCGCCCCCCCTCACGGGTACTTGAACTTGAGGGGTGTCTTGCGCACCCACCTGCTTGCCCGGATGTACGCATCTGGCACAAACAGAGCCGCCTGGCTCGCATTCAGCACCCCAGGCCGCGCCCACTGCACGCGCCTGCTGCTGCGCGCACCCGGCCCCGTGTCGCGGTACTCTGCCAGGAACGGCTTCACGCCGAAGTTCACTCCGGGCCACGGGACCCACCCGTCGGGAACAATGGCGGCTGATAGATAGCAGAACATGTACACCACGCGCGCGTACGCAAACCACGGCCGGCCGAGATATGCTGTGACTCCTGGCGTGGCTCCTGCCACCCAGCAGTGGTAGAACACGAACCCGCCGTCGCTGTTGGAGGGAGTGTCGCGGCCGTGTGTGGCGATGGCGCCTGGGCTGAAGCTGCCGGGGCGGCGGATGGGAGTGATGCGGCAGCGGTCGAAGACGGCGGCGCCGTGGCGGCCGTAGATGAAGTCCACGTGGCCCGAGATGAGGCACTCGCGGTAGTACTGCCGGCCGCGGTGCGCGTTAACTGTGTCCTGGAAGCCGGCGAAGACGCAGCGGTGCACGATGGTTCTGTCTCCAGAGGCTCGGAATGCCACCCCTGCCTCCTTATTCGGGCCGGCTGTGTTCTCAAAGCGAATGCCGGCTGCCACAAAGTTGCTGCCCGACGCAGCTGGTGGTGGCGCAAAGTCGCACGGTGAAGAGAAAGGGGGGAAGTGGGCAGGAGTGGACGAAAGTGGGTGGGTGGTGAGGAGGGAAAGCGAGTGAAGTGCATGCACTGCTTGACGACCAGGCCAGGGGGTTTGAGGGAGAGAGAGGGAAGGGGGCCAGAGGAGGGGGAAGAGGGGGGGGGGGGAGGGATGGGGGGGGTGGTTATAAAAGGGAGGAGGGGCAGCAGGCGCATGGACTGACCAAAGGAGGCGGTGTCCCACGTGGTGTAGCCATCGGCATTGCTGCGGTTCCCTGTGATGACGGTGCGCCAGGCGCCGCTCCCCAGCAGCAGCACGTATGCGCTCATCACCTCCACGTTGCCCACGTAGCGCCCTGGCTTCAAGAGCACTATGTACCATGCCGTGCGCGGCTCGCTGTCGATGATGCGCACCGCATCCTGGAGGGTGGGAGGGGGGGAGGGGGGGAGAGGGGGAGAGAGAGAGGGAGGAGAGTGGTGCGTGGTGAAGGGGTAGGAGGGGGTGAAGGGGAAAGGGATTTGATGCAGCTGGTCAGTGTCACACGTCAACATGCAGTTAGGTAGCATGCAGTATGTTGCACACGTCACCATGCAGTAAGGTAGCACATGTCAGCATGTAGTACGGTACAACTCAGACTGCATCCACGCATCCCCCCTACGAGGCACCACGGTACCACCTGTGCCCACCTGCAGGTTAGTGACGTCACCCGATCCGTCCTGAGCCACAGTCAGATCAGGCACCAGTGCCTCTCCCTTGAGCTTTCTCCTTCTCAGCGCACTCTCCGCACCACCACAGTCCCTGCAACCATTTCTACCGCTGCCACTGCCACTGCCGCTGCAGCTGCCGGTGCCGGTGCCGGCAGTGACGGCACCGTCATGGCGATCATCTCCTCCCCCTTCTCCCAACCCGCCGGCGAGCCATCCGCCGAGCGGACCCTCCTCCGAGTCCGACTTCAAGCCTCTTAGCAAGTCAGACTCCAGGCCTCTTAGCATGTCGGAGTCCAGGCCTCTCAGCACGTCCCCATCCACCCACGCCGGGAGCTCCCCCCCCGCCAGTCGCCGCACATCATCATCACCATCGCCGGTATCCCCGCCGCCCTGGTCGTCGGAGCCGTCAAATCCGGCGCGTTTGCCGGAGGCGATGGGGGGGACGGCGGAAGTATCTGAGCCCCCACCGGCGGCGGCCTGACTAGTTCCGAGTCGGAGTCGGGGCGTGGGGAGGCCGGCACGGCGGGTGGAGAAGGCCGCCGCGGCTTGCGCCGCGTGAGAGAGCAGTGCGAGGGAGGAGACGAGGAGGAGCGCGAACACGACCGGCGCCGCTGCTGTCGCCGCGGACGGCGCAAGCATGGTGGACGCTCCGACTCCATGGAGTTGGAGTCGGAGTCGGAGTCGGTGAGTTGCCATGGACCCCGGGATGATGGCCCGCCGATCCGCGCCGATCCCCAAATTCGCAGACGTGTGCGGAAGCGGCGCATGCGCAGAAACGCCGGGAACTAGTAGCCTGGTCGGCGGAAACGCGGCCGACTTCTGTGGGGGCTACTACTAACAGTCACTACGGTAGTAGTAGCCTGCCTCCGACGAACAGAAACGGAGTGAGGCATGAAGAGGGCTACTAGTGGGCGAAAAGTGCTGGGGCGAGAGTGTGATAAGTCCTGCACAGCCTGTCAAGGCCTTATCATTGTACTGTACACAGCCCATACAGGCGACGCTCGTCAGAGTCACACAAGATTTTAGGGTGCCGGGGATTCGAGCGGTCAGGTATTTCGCTGTCCCTCGCCACGGGCAAATGAGGCTTTCGCACGAGCACACGGCGAAGTGGGTGGGTATTTGTGGGGGGGGCTTGTGTGGCGATATTTGTTGCGAGTGTGCGACTCTTGTGAAGCGATCAGGCGACGGCGGTGCACAGTTCCGTGGCGACGAAATGTCGTCGTCAACGACTTGTCCCTTGCTATATGCTGGTCGCAGACGCAATCATGAGTGACTCAAACGGATATCACATTGCCCCTATATCGGAGGTTTTGGGAACGGATTCTGATTGGGCGCCAGGTTGAGCTGCGATAAGATTGGGCATCGTTTGTACGTGCAGGGCAACTGGTGGTGCTGCAGCCTGCTGCCGTCTGTCTTACCGTGACGCTTCCTTTCCTCCCAGACCTGCCTCTGTGCTACTACAGTGGCAGTTCTTGTCCGGAACGTGACATGGACCTCTCTAACGTTCGCTGTTCAGCCATGCGTCAAGAATCTCGTGGTGAGCATTCTGCCACGTCAGCGAATGGTGCAACATTCTGTTGGCATCTCATTCTGTCACGACGACGTGCGGGAAACCCGATCCTCAGCTCTCTGGACTCCAGGGTCAGACCCTGCCACGCGGTGGTTGGAATATGCCAGACATGTGGTAGGTAGGATACGAACTCCACAGCGTCCTGATTTGATGGGAATTCTCACACCCTACACCGGGTGCGCACCCAATAGCCCCGATTTTGACGAACCGCGTGGGCGCAATGCGCACACTTTTTTTCGCCAGCCTTCGCCACGCGAGAATGGGCCGTTAAGTGGACACTTGTGCTTTCGCGAGCTCCTTTGCATGGACACTTTCGCCACCGCCGTGTCGCAGGTGCCACAAAACCCCGGTGAACGGGCCATCAGGTGAAAGGGCCGTTGCTCGTGATTGGTGGCGGATGGGCGCAGGTTGGGGGGTGGGCCCGGTCAATTTTCCGGGACTCCCTGGACACCTGGGAAAGGAAGGCTGGGATTGTCATGCGGAGAGTAAGGGCGGGTCCAAATAGTACGTTCGATTACGGTGGAGTAGCTTTCGTTGCATTTCAAAGCGTTCGAATAACAGATTAGAATGGTTGGGTATGGTATTTTGCGAAAACGAACTTTTTGGACCCGCCCTGAGCGTTGAGCAGCGTTTGGGCAGGAGGGAGGATGGCAGGGCGAGGAAGGAAGGGAATGAGTGAACGTAACACAACGCACCAACAGCAGAGACGAATCTGAGGCCACCAGAGCGTTACAAGCAAGTGGAGGAGATAAGTGGAGGAGATAAGTTGAGGAGATGCAAGAGACAAGGCATGGCTGGTTGGTGGTGTTGCACTTGTGGTGTGTGTCACTCATGCTGCTGCTGAGCCGAGGAACAGTCGATTAAGTGGCTTGGTTGGCAAGGGGGCTTGGTTGGCTCAGTTGACCAGAGCAGAGCAAACAGAGATGTGAGGACTTGGTGCTTCTGGAGAAAACGGGGACTGTCGAACCTCAGCTCCGTGAGAACAAATGGGTGGCAGGTGGTAGACATGCTTCCAGAACGGTTTTTATGCGGCACACCGTGGTTCTCCTGCTCGTTCAAGCGCTGAACGTCCTGAGAACGTCCTGAGGACTATAGGTCGGTGGGGTGGTAGGACGTGTGGTGTGGGACGATGGGGAGGAGCGCGGAGCAACTGCGCATCACCGCTTGGAAGAATCTCAAGGGTGGGGGAGCATGATTGCTGTAAGGGATTTTCCATTCCTTACCGAGCGGTACTGCTATCGCGTACGCTCAAACACGCCCGAAGCCTCGGGACTGTTCCGGACCTTTCTGACAGAACCGCCTCGGCTTCTCCAGACCTGCTAGTTCGACCTTCGGGAGTTCTCCAGGCCTCGCTTTGTCACTTCAAGACCCTTCGATCTCCTTCCCGAACCTTACCATCTCATGGCTAGACTAGCTCTGGTGTTCCTATATCTTGGCTTGCCATTCCTTGTATCGTCATTCATTGAGTGAACACTTCGTTATTCATTTTCGCGCTACTCTGATTGTTCATTCATAACACCTGGTATTCAGAGCCACTTTCCTCGCTCACCCGTTTTCGTGAGTTGATTTTTTTGGGGGGGGGGGTGAGTCCCTCACGTAAGCTGCAAAGCGGTTGCTCGCGAATTAGACTGATTAATTCGCCCAACTACGATAGCGTTTGCGCTTATCTGAGTACAGGCACATTACGGATTTCCCCCTGCCCCGGCGGAGCATTCGCCAAATGGACCAAGCTCAGTTCAACGAGCTTCGGGAGCAGTTCAACGCCATGAACACGCGCATGGCTACAGTGCTGGAGGACAACGAGCGACTTCGTGCGGAAGTTGCTGAGTTACGCCAGGCGCGAGAGGATTCGCGTCAGAAATCTGCCGCCCAAGAAGAGGTCGCCAGCACCGGACGTGTCGAAACCGTCTTGGACGAAATCGCACGTTAGGTGTCACAGGAGCGCAAGGACAGTGAAGCCGCCGCAGCAGCTGACGTGGCAGCACGAGCAGCAGCCAAAGCAGCAGCAGCAGCAGCGACAGCAGCAGCCGCTCGGTCAGAGGCAGCCGCTACTGTAGCCGCACCGGCGTTTATGCCGATCGTGACAAGAGCGACGATTAAACCGACAATGCCGCCCCCGTTCAACCCCACAGATAAAAGTACTACTGTTACGGGCTGGTTATTTTCGGCGGAACTTTATTTTAATGCCGCTGGGATCACTGCTGACGATTTAAAAATTCGACTAGCTGTATCACTACTGCGAGGACCTGCGCTAGATTGGTGGCGATATACTCTACAGTAGGGGGAGTTTTCGGCAGGCGACACACAGGGGTTTTTCGGAAACTTTGGGTCTGCTGCCCAAGGGTCAACCGCGATTTTTGGATCGACCAAGATTCGCACGTGGAAGGCGTGGGGTACAGCTCTGCGTGAACGTTTCGAGCCAATATCCGCCTCGGACAACGCACGCACGAAGCTGGACAACTGCGCCAGTGGAGTTCTGTCCAGGATTACGCGTCGGTCTTCATGGCGTTATGCGATCAAATCACCGACATGCATGACTCCGAGAAGAAAGCTCGATTCATTTCGGGTTTGAAGCAGGACATTAAATGCGAGGTCCGACTGCGATTGCCGGCGACGTTTCACGAAGTTGTCCAGATCGCAGATACTTTCGACGCACATCGGACGTATGCGAGAGCGGGTTCCCGGGAGGGAAATCGTTTTCGTGGCCAGAATCCACGGCCCACGATTTACGGCATAGTGGCGAAGGAGCACATGGAAGATTTTCGCAAGGGACAATGTTTCAACTGCCACCAGCCGGGTCACCAATCTCACGATTGCCCCCGAACGAAGCAGATAAAGAAGAACGACGAAGACAGGTCGGGAAACGCCAAGCGTCAGTAGCGATCGGGCCCCCTACTGACCCTGTCTCATCGCCCGAAAAACACCATCCCCACCGAGTAGTGGTTCCGATAGATGCTATTAACCGCTCCCGGCTGAATAAGGGGGATGACCCAGTGGACCACCCTGTACTGGCGGAGGGACGACTCAACGGGAGAAAAATAAAAATATTCATCGACGGAGGTGCGAGTCATAGCCTGATAAATCGAGAGACAGCACGACGACTACATCTGACGATGGAGAGGTGTCTACCCAAAATCGACGCGCGATTGGTGGACGGCACCCCGCTGGCGATACGCGATAAAGTTCCCGTCGTTCGCATGAAGTGTGGCGACGATTTTGGTTTCAGCGCGACGATGCTGGCGACAACGCTCAATGGGTACGACGTGCTATTGGGACACGACTGGCTGCGACGATTCAACCCGCAGATCGATTGGACAACAGGCGAGTGCACAGTGAAGTGCGACAAAGGCTGGCGAAAATTACCCACGTGGCCGGAAGCGGAGACAACATCGACACGCGTCAACGCAGTGTGCCTCAAGCGAGCGGTCAAGAATGGAGCGGATTTATACGCCGTCCATCTAACCGAATCAACGGAGCAGAACGAGGCGACCGACATCAACAAACTCTGCGCTTCGGTCCCGGATGACTTGGCGAAAATCATTCGGGAATATCCTCAGATTTTCCCAGACGATTTGCCAAGCGGACTGCCACCCGAACGACCCCTGGACCACAAAATCGAGCTGGAGCCTGGCGCGCAGCCTACTGTACGCACGCAATGGCGCCTGACTCAGCCGGAGCTACAGGAGTTATGAAACCAGTTGGACTACCTGCTGGCGAAAGGGTTCATTCGGCCGAGCACGTCACCGTTCGCAGCACCGATCCTGTTCACGCCAAAAAAGGATGGCGGACTTTGCATGTGTACGGACTATTGTGCCCTTAATCGGGTAACGATAAAATCGCGCTACCCAATACCACGCACGGACGAACTGATCGACAACCTTCGCGGAGCTCGCTATTTTTCGAAGATAGATCTTCGCGGCGGTTACCATCAAATTCGTGTGTTCGCTGACGACTGCCACAAGACCACGTTTCATACTCGCTACGGGAGTTACGAATACACGGTGATGCCGTTTGGATTAACGAACGCCCCCTGGACATTTCAACTCAGCATGAATGGGGTATTCCACGATCTACTCGACAAATGCATGATAATTTACCTGGACGACATCCTGATTTACAGCAAAACGCGGGAGCAGCATTTAAAAGATTTGGAAGCGATTTTTCAGCGGTTGCAGCAGCATCGACTCGTCATCAAGGGCTCTAAGTGCGAGTTTTTAAAACAAGAACTGGAGTTCCTGGGGCATGTGATCTCCACGGAGGGGATCCGGATAGACCCGAAAAACTCTGGGCTATTCAGGAATGGAAACCACCAACCAATCTGCAGCCGCTGCAATCCTTTTTGGGTTTCGTGAATTACGTACGGAGGTTTATACCCAACATGGCGGGGTTAACTGGACCTCTAACCGAACTACTGCAGAAGGGGGCTTCGAGGCAGCAAGCTGCGTTCGAGGCATTAAAAACTCTTTTAATGTCGCCATCGGTACTTCGCATCGCTGACCCGGAACGGCCTTTCGAAGTCATCACCGACGCAAGTGACATCGCCATCGGAGCAGTGCTCATGCAGGATTTCGGCAATGGGCTTCAACCAATTGCATACGAGTCTCGGATAATGCAATCTGCTGAGCGCAACTACCCGGTACACGACAAGGAGATGCTGGCGATAGTCCACGCGTTCAAAATCTGGAGGTGCTACCTGACTGGAGCAGACGTGACGGTGCGAACTGACCACAAATCTCTACAGTATCTGAGAGCGCTGCCGAATCTCAACCCGCAGCAGATACGCTGTCTGGACTACCTGGAGTCCAACTTCACATACAAGATCACGTACAAAAAAGGGGCCAACAATATTGCCGACACCCTCTCCAGACCATCTGCCCAACTCACGTCAAAATTCTGGCAGGACACGTGGGCTCGGTACGGCACGCGTCTACAGTTCTCATCCGCGTATCATCCCCAAACGGACGGCCAAACGGAAAGGACAAATCAAACGATGGAGCAGCTGATTCGGACAAACTGCCCCGACCGGAAGAAATGGGAGGACGTGCTGCCCATGTTGGAATTTTCCTACAACAACGCGCCCTCGGCTACGACTAATCACTCCCCGTTTTATCTCAATTACGGGATGGACCCTACAGTACCAGTCTCCACCAACGTTGAGAGTCAAGTACCACGATCGCAGCAGTTCGTCGAAGAATTACAGACTGCCCGAGACAAAGCTGTCGAACTTATTAGCAAGGCGAACGCAACTGCCCGACGGTATGCGAATTTACATCGACGGGATATTACCATGACAGCAGGGCAACTAGTCCTTTTGGACACCAAGAATTTACGACTGCCACTATCGACGAAATTACGACAACGTTTCTGTGGCCCATTCAAAATCGTGAAGATGGTGACGTTGGTGACCGCCCAACTACGCCTACCTGATAACTGGCGTATTCACAACAAATTCCATGTGAGCCTGTTGTGACCCTTCGTTCCTAACACGTCGGACATCGCCCGACAGCGATTGGTCCTCGACGTACAGCCACCAGCCGAGACAACCATCGAGCCTTCGAAGATCTTGAGCCATCGGATTCGTATCGACGGTCAAGGACGACACGTTGACTTTCTGATACGATGGACCAATTGTACCAGTGAGGACGACACGTGGGTGCCCTCGGACCAGATACAGTCACCTTCGCTACTTGCTTATTATTTGGACCGCAAGCACGTGGCTGATATACACTGAGGGAAAAAACCGTCCGGATGTTTGGCACTAAGTTGGGTTTTTAGGCTTTGAGACTACTGTATGGTAAACCTGCAAGATGCACGGTGGTACACGTTGGGAGAGGCACAAAGTGGATGCGTTCACTGCACTGAGAACTAGATTAGTACATTGGATCTAACTCATACTCCAAAAGATATACAACGAGTACATCCGGACAGTTTTTTCCCAGGACAAAGAGCAAACTTCCTAACAACGTTTCTAGTACCTAGTCCACCTACTCTTGGCGTTGATCACCATCCACACCCTCCTAGGCATGTTATCTATGTGGTTAGTGCAGACCTTTGCATGAAGCTTCTCGCACTCTTCCTTGACCCACCATTTTGCATAAGGGGGTGAGCACAAGGAAAATTGCGAAGTATTTGAGCGTATGCATAAGTATTGTGCACGAATTCAGATTGAATGTAATCTCTGAGACTAGCCAAGCCGAAGGGTGTCCAAAGATGCCATTAGTTGAATGGTCTTGGCTTATCATGGGTTGTTTTCGTCGAATCAGAGTAGGGTGAAATCACGTATAGAGTGGCAAAATCTAGCATACCCGCCACGAAACTTAGGGTAACAGAGCACGGTCGATTGAGCATCCTTTCATTGTTAGAATCATGTTAAAATCCGCGAGTCTAGTGACAGTGCATCAGTTGAAGAAGTCTCGACTGTTTGGGAAGAATATCAGGGTTGAGGTCTGGTGAGGAAGAGGGGCACTCCAGAGCTACATATCCATGCTCTCCGAGCCATTCCAAGCCTAGGCAGGGAAAATGACATGGAATGCCTTGGAGAGCATAAGTATGTTGCGCTGGAGTGACCCTTTTTCTCACCAGACCTCAATCCAGATATTCTTCCCAAACAGTCGAGGTTTCTTCGACTGCTGCCCCGTCACTAGACCCGCGTATTTTAACATGGTTCACACAGTGAAAGGATGTTCAGTCGACCGTGCTCTGTTACCCTAAGATTCGTGGCGGGAATGCTAGATTTTGCCACTCTATTCGTGATTTTACCCTAGAACGATACGACGAAGACGACCCATGATAAGCCGGGACCATTTAACTAATGGCATCTTTGGACACCCCTCGGCTTGGCTAGTCTCAGAGATTACATTCAATCTGAATTCGTGCACAATACTTATGCATACGCTCAAATACTTCGCAATTTTCCTTGTGCTCACCCCCTTATGCAAAATGGTGGGTCAAGGAAGAGTGCGAGAAGCTTCATGCAAAGGTCTGCACTAACCACATAGATAACATGCCTAGGAGGGTGTGGATGGTGATCAACGCCAAGAGTAGGTGGACTAGGTACTAGAAACGTTGTTCGGAAGTTTGCTCTTTGTCCTGGGAAAAAACTGTCCGGATGTACTCGTTGTATATCTTTTGGAGTATGAGTTAGATCCAATGTACTAATCTAGTTCTCAGTGCAGTGAACGCATCCACTTTGTGCCTCTCCCAACATGTACCACCGTGCATCTTGCAGGTTTACCATACAGTAGTCTCAAAGCCTAAAAACCCAACTTAGTGCCAAACATCCGGACGGTTTTTTCCCTCAGTGTAGATCACCTTCGCTAAGGGGGGGGGGGTGGTGTAATGAATTTTCCATTCCTTACCGAGCGGTACTGCTATCGCGTACGCTCGAACACACCCGAAGCCTCGGGACTATTCCGGACCTTTCTGACAGAACCGCCTCGGCTTCTCCAGACCTGCTAGTTCGACCTTCGGGAGTTCTCCAGGCCTCGTTTCGTCACTTCGAGACCCTTCGATCTCCTTCCCGAACCTTACCATCGCATGGCTAGACTAGCTCTGGTGTTCCTATATCTTGGCTTGCCATTCCTTGTATCGTCATTCATTGAGTGAACACTTCGTTATTCATTTCCGCGCTACTCTGCTTGTTCATTCATAACAATTGCCCTCCACCGAAAGACCAATGCATGGGAAAAAGGAAATAGAGTACAGTGTTGCATCTTGTCATATATGATAAATGCCCCGGTCTAGTATGGTAGAAACCATGCTTCTCTTGACCATGAACCCAACACACGAGTTGCGGTTTCAGGCTATAAGGAATTAGTAATTCTTTACTGAGGCTTTCTACAGGGCGTATGACTCGAACAGTCCCGAACCACCGCCAGGGTTCCAGACCTTTCGATTCGAGCCTCCTGGGCCTTTTCGGACCTTGCTTCGACACATCGAGGCCCTTCAATACTTTTCCCGAACCTTCCGATCCTACATCAAGGATCACCCTAGGTTCTCTATATTTTGTGTTGTCTTTCATTATATTGTCATTCACTCGTTCACAACGTTACGATAAGAAAATTGTTACATTCATGAAAGTAACACTCGAGTTATAACTGTTGTCAAGTCAAAGCCTATGACGCAAGGTACGAAGTGCAACGGTCGTTGACCGTTGACCGACAGTCGAACCGACAGAAGTACAAGGTGTCAACTTATACATATGTTCTATGTAGAAGTTATAGGCTAGACTAGGTGTGTGCTTCTAGTGAGTACAACCCAACAGGTATTTGTTCTAGGTTTCTCTTCCTAGTAGATCATTCTCGTATTCAAACATGGTATCGAGTAGGTTAGGTCCCCCCCCCACCCGCTTCCGCCCGCGCCCTAGCCTCTCGCCCCCCCCCCCCTACCTACCTAGCCTGGCCCGGCCCTTAGCGCCCGCTCGGCCTGTAGCGCCCTCCTGGCCCCCGTCGCGCCCTCCAGGCCCCCGTCGCGCCCCCCTGGCCCAGTCGTGCCCTCCTGGCCCCCGTAGCGCCCTCCTGGCCCCCGTAGCGCCCTCCTGGCCCCCGTCGCGCCATCCTGGCCCAGTCGCGCCTTCTTGGCCCCCGTAGCGCCCTCCTGGCCCCCGTCCCGCCCTCCTCGCCCAGTCGCGCCCTCCTGGCCCCCGTCGCGCCCTCCTGGCCCCCGTCGCGCCCTCCTGGTCCCCGTCGTGCCCTCCTGGCCCAGTCGCGCCCTCCTGGCCCAGTCGCACTTGCCTGGCTCCGTAGCGCCCTCCTGGCCCCGTAGCGCCCTTCTGGCCTCCTGTCACACCCTCCTGGCCCCGTCGCGCCCTCCTAGCCCCACTGCGCCCGCCTGGCCCCGTCGCACCCTCCTGGCCCCATCGCACCCTCCTGGCCTCGTCGCACCCTCATGGCCCCGTCGCGCCCGCCTGGCCCCACCGCGCCCGCCTGGCCCCACCGCGCTCGCCTGGCCCTCTAGCGCCCACCTGGCCCCACCGCGCCCGCCCGGCCTGTTGCACACGCCGGCCCCTCCTAGCGACCGCCCGGCCCCTCCTAGCTACAGCCCGGCCCGACCCGGCCCCTTCCTAGTGCCGCCCAGCCCTTATTGCGCCCGCCAGGCTCCTAGCGCCCGCCTGGCCCCGTCACGCCTGCCTGACTTCCTGCCCGCCCGGCCCCTCCTCGTGCCTGCTCGGCCTGCCGTGCCACCTCGGGCCCCGTCTCCTCTGCTCGCCTGCGCTGGGGCGCCTCGCGGTCGCCCTGCTGGAGAGTGCTGCCACCGTGTCCTCGCGCCGCTGTGCTCCTGCGGAGCTGTGGAGCTGTGCCGCTGTGTCGCTGAGGAGCTGTGTCGCTGACCCTGCACGATGGCTGACTTCGTGCTCCGACTGGACGCTGAGGGCCACGCGGTTGACTTCGCCGCCTAGCTCTCCGATCTCCACTGACAGCTTATAGGTCAGCGCCAGGATGGCCACTCTTTGGTTGTCCATGCTGATGGCTTGCTCCCCCACCCCCCTGCACCTGCTCCCCTCCCTGCTGACCCCTCCTCTGATGACCGTGAGGCTTTCTCTACTGCTACGCTTGCCTGTGCAGTCTAGGAGTCACGCGATGCAGTAGCTCAGGTTGCTATCAGTCACGCCCTCCCTGTGTCTGAGCGCTCGCGTTTCGCTACGGTTGATACGGCCAAAGCTTATTTAGACGCCGTTATTGCTCGCTATTCCACACCTGCATCTGCTTCTGCCGGCCGCTTGCTTTTCCCGCCACTGTTCCCAGACCTTGCTGCCTTCCCTACTGTCGCCGACTTTGCCACTCACTTGCGTGCCCTAGAGACTCGCTATCGCACTGCCAGCACTGCTGCCCAGCTCACTGCGCTCCCCCCCCCCTTTCTGCATGACGCTCTATTTTATCGCCATGCGCCTGCCAGACCGCCTAGCTAGTGCTCGCGACCACTTCCTTAGCCAGCACCCGGGTGACCTCACCCTGACCGCCTTTGTTGACACCCTCACCGAGATCGAGACTCGCCAGCATACTATCGCTCAGTCGAGCGGTGCACC